TCTCAAAAAAAAAAAAAAAAAAAAAACCTTCCCTGCCATTCTAAGTGATCATGGCCCAAGTGCATGGAGCTTGGTCAGACAGCCACCCAGGAGAGGGCAGTATGACGCTGTATGACCAGCCAGTGGCCGGACCACACTGTCCCGACATCCCCAGAGCAACCCAGGGCTCCCTGTGGGCTCCGGGGCACGCAGCCTCTCCTCTCATTCCGGCTGCCAGCCTGGAGGGCGAAGGCCGTTACTGGAGGTGGAGGCCCCGCCAGGCCTCCCGTATGACGGCCTCTGCAGCACCCAGGATGTGCAGACTGTCAAGAAAGAAAGTAGGCGGGGGGCGGGGGCACAGGGACTGTGGCCTCAGACCTGCCCCACCCTCCCCAGAGCCCCTTGGCCAGTGCAGTCTGTGGGCAGCTGGGCCTGATTCGCGCCTCCTCTTCGTCACCGAAGCACAAAGCAACTGCCCTGCTAAGCATGTCCTAGGAGGGCTTTAAATGGCTGCAAAAGCGATTTCTTCCTACAGGGCACGCTGAGCTTCCTCAGCAGGCCTCAGGATAAGTCATCTCTGGTATAACTTTCATATGTGAGGATCAAGGGCTAATTTATTATTTTTAAAATACACCAGGATGCCTGTTGCTTGTGTGCTCAAAATGCTGGCATTAACAGACGGCCTGCCTAGAGCGGAACGCCCAGAGCCACTGGCCTGGCCTGCGGCCCAGAGGTCAGGAGGAAGTGCAGCCGCGGCCAGGCTGCCACGCTTCATGCCAGCAGCCTCCGCGCTGCCCTCTGCCGCCGCCTCTCACTGGAAACCGCCTTCCTTCTGCCTTTCCTTCTCCACCTGGAGTCGTCGCAGCCTCCCACATGCAAAACCCCAACCGCTTGTTCAGGGTGCCTCTGGGCCCGACCGGACTTTGGAAGGGGCTCGGCCACGTCTCAGTGAGCTGCGGCACCCGCGGCTCAGCCTGCTACACCTGAGAGAGAAACCACCACAGTGAATCCCTGGAAGGAGCAACACCACTTCTGCCATGAGGAACGAAGGCAAAACGACTCTTAAGACAGCGACCTGAAGCCACTCAGCGTCCCGCTGCCCCTGAGCACAGCCCGGGCCCAGCTATCCCACTCCCAGTAGGAACAGGCAGGCGCATGCACGTGGGCACCGAGGCACTGCGGGGACACTCTGGGTAGCCCTGCCACACGGCCAGACTGGAAACACCCGAACGTCCATCAACAGGACGACAGGTGGCTTCTATCCAGACAGCGGGACACTGTACAGGAGCCATCTCACACAGCTGCACGGCTGTCCCCAGGGGTCACCGTAGGTGGCCATCTCAGCACCAGAACTTGGGGAATCCGGCCTGGTGGTCTCCTGGGGGCTGGGAATGTTGTTTCTTGATCTGCTGCTGGTTATATGGAGTCACAAGGTGAAGATTCCTCGTGCACTTTGCTGTATGTGGTGTTCTTTAATAAAACGTTTACTTAAAAAAGGTGTAGGACATGTTCAGGCAGATTTCCCCTTTAATATCTGCATGTCTTGCAGCGATCTGAAACCTCGATGCTCCTGCTGGATCCAAGGTCAACAGGGGCTCCTCTGCCTCCTTGCTCCCACGCACGCTGATTTCTAGGCCAGGAAAGGCTGTGACTTGGCACGTGTGGTGCCTGTCACCTGGTGACCTCCAAAGATGTTAGCAATACTCACCCAGTGTCCCTGCCTGTTTCAATTGCAGGGCTCCTCCTCAGCCCCCTGCTGCAGCTGCGCCTGACTGCTGTCCCCGAGCCCTCCTCCCTCTCCTCTGTGTCCCCTTCCGGCAGCCAGAGTGGTGCCGGTCCCAGAGTGTGCCCAACAAGACAGGACACCACCAAGGCCATGAAGCCAGGCACCTGCAGGGGGCCAGGCAGGCACCCCCAAGAGTGGAACTGCCTGTAAGTGGCCCAGGCAACGATGGCCTTGGGCCTAGAAAGAGACAGCCACCCTGCCTTGACTGTGGCTACGTGGGAACAGAGGTTGAGGGGGGCACACCTGTGACTTCTCCCAGCCCCCCGGCCCCAAAATCCCAAATGCCTTGCATGGACCTTGGCTGGCCACTCTCCCTTCCTGACTGTACAGATTTTTGTTTGGTGCCCACCACACAGCCATGTGCCTTGAGGGGGACGACTTGACCCCAGCTTGTAGGGTGGTCCCAACTGGCTCAGACCACTCGGCATGGTTGTTCCCCAGTCAGGTGTCTGTGGGGGGGGGGCACTGCAGAGGGCAGGCAAGCCGCAAGAGGACCCGGCACGGTCTCCATGCTGCCCTCCCCTCTCCCTGGCTTCTGCTGGGCACAGAACATCCCTACAGGACATTTCCAGGCCAGCTGGGGGTCAGTCACTTGCAACAACAGCAGCCCTGACTGATACCTGCCCAGTGTCAACCACTCATTCCAGTCCTCATCTGTGGCTGCACTTGTCTCCCAGTCACCACCTCTGATCTAGTTCAACCCCTTTATTCTCAAAATGGGGACACTGAAACCAGAACAGGGAAAAGCCAACCACTCAGAGTCACCAGCTCCTTCAGGAAACCAAGTGCCCACGTTGTGACGCTTGCAGGCCTGCACCGAGGCCCTGGCTGCTCTGAGGGGCTCGGTCATGGCAAACACACTTTGAAATGAAGGCTGCTTTTTAATAGGCAGGCCTGTCTGATTATTTGAAAAGTTAGCAAGGAACCAACACTTCCTTGGTTGCAACTATAGTAGAGAACACGCCCTGTGACAAGACCCCAGCCTCAGTCCCAGCAAGTGTCCCCTGAACCACTTGGGGGGAAGCTCTTCCTCCCGGACCTTCTGAGGCGCACCATCACAAGGGAACCCTGGGAATCTTCCAGGTCCGTGGCTGGGCATTCTACTCTGTGGAGGATGGCTCTCAGGGCTGGGTGTTCGGTATACCTATGCCCCAGCGTTGCAGCGTTAACTGACAGTAGCTGTATGTAAAACTACACATAAAAATCTTTGGAAAAAGGCCGGGCGCGGTGGCTCACGCCTATAATCCTAGCACTCTGGGAGACCAAGGCGGGAGGATTGCTTGAGCTCAGGAGTTCGAGACCAGCCTGAGCAAGAGCGAGATCCCGTCTCTACTAAAAATAGAAAGAAATTGGCCAAACAATTAAAAATAGAAAAAAATCAGGCAGGCATGGTGGCGCGTGCCTGTAGTCCCAGCTACCCGGCAGGCTGAGGCAGGAGGATCGCTTGAGCCCAGGAGTTTGAGGTTGCTGTGAGCTAGGTTGACGCCGCGGCACTCTAGCCCAGGCAAGAGAGTGAGACTCTGTCTCAAAAACTAACTAACTAACTAACTTTGGAAAAAAACTGCGAAGATGCTTTTCCAGCTCTCACGGATCCCAGTGTTTGGCCCGAGATAGAACATTCTTCCCCAACATCACTAGCTGGTTTACACATCTTAGTTAAGGAAAGATGGTCCAGTTGGGTGTAAGAATTCTGAGATGCACAATTGCAGGACTGTGTCCCCGCCCTCAAGGGTGCCAGGGACCCCGGCGGCCTCAGCCATGGTCTGAGCTTCTTGACCACACTGTGGATCGAGCTTTTACATGGAACGTTATTCCATTTTATGTGATCTATACCCAACTGTCCAAATAGTAGCCACTAGCTGTATATGGCTTTTAAATTAAAATGATTAAAATTAGAAATCCACTTCCTTCATTGCACTCTCCACTTTTTAAGTGCTTGACTAGCCCCTGTGCTGAGTGGCTGCTCGACTGGGCAGGGTAGTTGCAGAACATTTCCCTCTGATGCAGCGATTCGTAGTTTCATTTACTGAAGCACCTCTCATCCTTCCCTGCTCCTGACACACAGATCATTAGGTCCCTGCTTCCTGCTGCTACTGCAGGAGGCTGATGAGGCCAGGAGGCTCATTAAAAAGGGCAATTTCACTGCCTGGAGTTACTTTCTCCAGAGCAATGCCAATTCTGCCCGCCTGCAGCTGGTGGGCCTGCTTGTTCCCACAGCTGTGCCCTGGAAGTCCCGATCTGAATTGGTGGTGATGAAACGTCTAGCTTGTCCAACAGAGGAACTGTGTCCGCAAAGGATGTGTGTTGGTGACACAGTAGTGGTTTCCCCTCTTTCGCAG